ATTATTGAATTGTATGTTCAATGTACACAATTATGAATAAATTGTCATGGTCTACCAATAACTGACATGCATTCGCGTAACAAAATTATCTTTCGCCTTTCAAAACGATGATTTAAAATGAAAATGTCGTAATAGTTGACTTATTTAATTTTTTATGATGACGTGAATTTAAGTAATGAAGCTGTTCGCAAAGTCTTCCATTCATTGTTCCATTCATCGAAGAAGTCTGTAGTGAAATCTGGTTGTACTTATTGATGTCCACTCTGCTAGGAGAGGTAAAAATTCAACATAAAACAGTCGCAGTGAAACATAGGTCGGTGGAACAATTCCCCACTTCATGGCATTCTTGAAGTAACACTTTGACATTTCGTCTTTGCAGAAGTCTCTGGTTCATACATGACGCTCGGACCAAATTCTTCAATGATCAGCGACAAATATTACCGCACCCTAACGTTATTCGAGGGCCGACTCTTTGTGGGAGGAAAGGACCAATTATTTTCTCTAAATCCTGCCAACCTTTCATTGGTAAACAGTCCAATAATATCGAACAGTCTGTTTGAATGTTTTCAATCCTTGTATTATATAACACAAAGAAACATAAGACTCTAGTTTTGAAAACAAAACATGCAATGCCTTTATCTGGGTAAGGTTCTGGAATTTTAATATATCAAGGTTGTGAATTTTTAACTGTATAAATCAACAAATAACTCGGTTCATCTTCTAGTCAGCAATCCCACCTTGATTGATTATCACCAAATCTGCAGGATCATGTTAAAACAACGTTATAATGAACAATGCAACTGTCTATTACAAGGTAATGTATGTTTCCTTTGCAGCTTGATAGTGCTGTGGACACTGGATCGTGCAGTAGCGTAAGTGGTGTACGGAAATTATGTTTCGATTAAATTGGCTCAGTACCATATTTCGACAGGGCATAGGGCTCATCAACTTTAAAGATGTACACATCGTGATGGGAAAAGTAAAAACAAACGCGTACAATGTGCACGTTTCCAGGAATTTGTTAATCGTTGAAAGTAATGAAGATAATTTGTTCAATTTTTTGTGGCTACATGACTTTATGCGCTTTATTCATACACGTTCATACACGTTTGGAACACCGAACTGCCCTGTATACGTACTTATTCTGTATTACTTTATGACCGTTTATTTTACCACGGACCATTTACCCAGGGATGTGCAACTTCAGCTCAGAGCTGGTTCAATGTATGATACGGCCGGCACAATATCAAAGCAGAAATTAAGTTGGATTATGTAACACTTTCTCTAATAATAAAACATATATTCCTGTCTACCACTTTGTTTTCTTGTAATATTTCAAGTCAGGCCTCAGGGTACACCCTTTCTAAAATATGCTGCTCCTATACATTCTGAGAAAACTGTACCACAAAATTGGGGAATTTTGCCTCATGAAAACTTCGTTTCTACTTGAAATCGATAAATGAAGAAGATTTATTCGTCAAAATGAATAGATTTGAACACCGCGTCGGCGCGTCGTCTCGGCATAACCACGGCTGCACTGTACCTGCTGCAATTTTTTTCGAGAAGGTCGAGAGCTCCTGCGGGGGTAATAACAATCCGTAACGCGCATGGAACCAAGGTCATAGGACTATATGTGTTTGCACTGGGGCTGCTCACGGTTGCACATCCCTGGGTAAATGGTCCGTGATTTTACGAAAACGAGCATCTTATGGTTTCAGTTAGATTTAGGATTCGGGTATTTTTATACTCAGGGTTTTCTAATTAGGATTTTTATGTTTTAGAGCTTTTAACCACCAGCGAGATCCTTTATTTTAAATCAGCAGATGCTGCTGGGTATGTGTGCTGCTCAACTGCCCCTTGAAAAAAACAGAGAAATAAGAGAAGAGAAAAGAACAAAGACAAAAGAAGGGAAACAAAAACGAAAAGATGAAACCAGGAAAAAACAAAACAGTTTACTTGAAAGTACCTTGCGGAATCGAGCCCTGTCACTGTTTATAGTGGTTTGTAATTTTGATATGGATGAATGCGTTATTCCCCTGTGTAAGAGCTTTCATTCTTTTCCTTGCAACAGCCATAATCACGTGCCTTATTTTGGAGCCCCTAATTGTTTACTAAATCCCTTTAACACAACCTGCTTGGGGTATACAAATGACACAGATTATAACAATGTTGTCGGTCATTCTGTTGTTAACTTCAACAGTGTAGTAATTACATCCGTGTGATCCAATCTCTTCCTGTACTGAACAATACCTTGCTGGAGTGTGGAACCGGTAACGAAGATCCTTACTGCCGACAAAGGAG